AATATCAGGGCAGTTTTCCTTGATAATTTCTTGAAAGAAGATGTCTAGGCTCTTTTTTTGATCATGGCTTCCAGATAGTCCAATAATTTTTAAGTTCTCTCTCCTGGATCTATTTTCCAGGTCAGTTGTTTTTTGAATGAGATATTTCACATTCTCTTCTATTTTTTCATTCGTTTTGATTAGTGTTACAGTGCCTTGATTTCTCAAGTTGTGCCTCTCTTCCAATTTCTCCATTCTAATTTTTAAGGAAGTATTTTCTTCAGTAAGGTTTTGACTTTCTTTTCCATTTGGCTGTTTGCTTTTAAGGGCATTCTTCTCCTCATTGGCTTTTTGGACCTCTTTTGCCATTTGGGTTAGGCTATTTTTTAAGGTGTTATTTTCTTCAGTATTTTTTTGGGTCTCCTTTAGCATCACTCTCAGTTTTTCCTCTACTTCTCTTACTTGCTTCTCAAAATCCTTTTTGAGCTCTTCCATGACCTGGGACCAATTCATGTTTTTCTTGGAGGCTTTGGATGTAGGAGCTTTGGCTTCATTGTCTTCTTCTGGTAGTATGTTTTGATCTTCTTTGTCATCAAAGTAAAATAACATAGTCTGACTCTTTTTGCACTGCTTGCTCATGATCCTGGCCAATTACTTGAGTTATAGACTCTTGTTAAGGTAGGAATCTGTTCCCAATGTGGAGAATGTACTGTCCCAAGCTTCAGGGGTTTTGTGCAGCTGTGTTCAGAAATCCTTCTAGGGACTTGTAAATTTTTAGTTCTTCCAAGGTGGTATGATCAAGGGCGAGGTGTTTACTCCTTTCCTGGCCTGTGCTCTGGTCTATGAGCACTCTTTTCTGTCTTGGAACTGTGAGGAGGGTTTCCTCTCCACAGCCATTACAAACGGCACCACACCAGCGTTCCTCCTAGCCCCAGGACCGCCACCCAGAACTGTGACCTAGATCCAAGCACTGGCAAAGCAAGAGAATCCTGCACCAGCAGAGAGATCCCTGCAATCCTCCTCTTATCAGTCACTCAATTCCCCCTCTGTCCGTGGGCTGGAAGCTCAGGAGGCAGCCATTACCTTGAGGGCACGCTCCGGACTTGCGGCTGAGATCTAGCTCCTTCTCTCACCGCAGTCACAGACTTTTCCCACTGACCTTCTAAGTTGTCTTTGGCGTTTGTGGGTTGAGAAGTCTGGAAACCACCACAGCTGCCCCCGATTCAGTCCTCTGAGGCCTGCTCCAGGGTCGCTGCGACCTGCATGCCCACACCCAGCTGTGCTCCTCTCCCAGGCAGAGTGACATACCTTTCCAATCAACCATTCAGGCTGTCTTTGGCTGGAAATTTGTTTCACTCTGTCTTTTTGTGGGTTCTGCTGCTTTAGAATTTGTTTAGAGCCATTTTTTATAAGTATTTGGAGGGGTTTGGGGGAGAGCTTAAGCAAGTCACTGCTTTTACTCCGCCATCTTGACTCCGCCCCCCTGGTCCTCTATGTAATGCATTTTTAAAGCCTTAAAGCCCTGTATAAATGTCAGTTCTTATTATCCCAGATGGTCAGAAGACATACAAAGAGGGTTTGGAAGTGAATTATTTATTCTTCAGCTCTCCAGGGTTGCTAATTCTCCTTAACAGGTTGTCTTTCCAGTTCTCTTGTAGAAAGACAAGTCTATTTCCTCTTGTCCTATTTTCCCTGGAGATGGAAGAAATCCTGGAATCCTAGAATCCTCCCAGTCCTTACTCCCTCTCAACATTCAGTTCAGTCCAGTTCTAGCCAATGAACATTTATGAAGCATCTACCAAGTAGAAGCTACAAAGAAGAAAACCACTTGGATTCCAGCTCCATAGCAAGAGGTATGAGGGGTAAGTAGGCGGGGAGCAGATGTTTGGAGAGGGGAAGCATGGCCCCAGGGCAGGAGCTCAGAGCTAAGTGGTTTAGCTGCTAGAGAATCGGGTGAAATGAGAGCAGAAACATGGGTTGGAATCAGGCTGTGGATGCCAGTCAAGGAGGCTGTAGTTTATCCTATGGACAACAGGGAGCCTGTGAAGGCTTTTGAGCAGGAGAGTGACATGGGCACACCAGAGAATTAGTAAGATTATTTTGGTAGCAATGCGGATACAGTTTTAAGACAATAATAATTTTTTTTAAAAAATCTTATTTCCCCAAGTGACCAGGCAATTCTGTGAGGATACCTACTCTCAAGAGAGTAGTTTTGGGCACCTACTGTTTTGTAAGACACTCTCTTTTTTTTTTTTTTTTTTTTTGTTTTGGTTTTGCTTTGTTTTTTTTTTCTTTGTCCAGACGTTCAACATCATGGTAAGGAACTCCTCAGGCAGATACTTTCTTCACTGATACTGATAACTCATGATCTAAAGAGCTGGCTAGGTTAGTTATTGAGAGGTTAAGTGACTTATCTAGGGTCACACTGCCATCATATCAGAAGATTTGAGCTCAGGTCTTTCTGACTCCAAGGCTAGTGGTCCACTTACAATGCCACGTTACTCCCTGCAAAGTACTCTGGAGAGTAAAAATGAGACAAGACATACTATCTATCTGCTAAGATAGGACATGTGTATACATAAAAAAAAATAAACTCACAATCTCTAATGGCCTGCAGGCTGTACCCCATGAGCAGTACAGAGAGGAAGGGATTTAGGAAGCAGTACAGACGGGAGAAAGAGCTCTGTAGACTGGGGTGGCTAGGGAAAGGCTTCTTAAACAAGGCAGTTTAAGGGGGCAGCTAGGTGACCAAGTGGATAGAGCACCGGCCCTGAAGTCAGAAGGACCTGAGTTCAAATTTGGCCTCAGACCAAACACTTGACACTTACTAGCTGTGTGACCCTGTGCAAGTCACTTAACCCCAATTGCCTAAAAAAACCACAAACAAGGCAGTTTAGGGTGTCCCAAAAGTCTAAGACTTGGATTTTGGGGTCGCCTTGTATTTGAAGGACAGGTTAGTAAGCAGTTAGTCATTCAATAAACATTTAAACATCTGCCATATGCAAGGCACTGTGTTAAGGGCTAGGAATACAAAGAAAGTCAAAAGATGGTACCTCCTTTCACAGATCTCACAATCTAATGGGGGAGGGGCAGGGGCTGGGCTATCACCTAGTTGTTCAGACTTTAAATTGATCTCTCCCTCTCTCCTCCATACGACACTGAGATAGGTTTGTCCCCTAAATAGCCCCTCAGGACTCTGGACTGAGGTGGGGGAGTGAACCGTGAGGCCAACCTGGGGCAACATTGTTCATGTCCTTGGTGTGGATGTGACTTAAGTACACCAAGCAGACATGGGAAGACCTGTGCCTCCACTGGGAAGGCCCTGAGTTCCCCGTGTCCTCAGGGCAATCCATCTAGGGTCACTGCCCAAAGTCACAGACTAACAGAATGATGGAGCTAGGAAGGAATTCAGGACACAGAACATAGAATGTCAGAGCTGGGAAGAATCTTAGGACATGGCAGAGCTAGAAGGGACCTTAACAGTAACAGCAAAACCTCCTGTTTTTATAGGAGTTTAAAACTTACAAGCATTCTCCTCACCACAATCCTTCAAGGTAGATTGTGCAAGGATTGTTGCCCCTGCTTTGTAGGAAACTATCCATTTATAAGGAAATTGAGGCTCAGGAAGCAAAGTGACTTGCCCAGGGTGGCACAACTGGTATGAATCAAAGCCAGGTTTCAAATTCAAGTCACCTGACTCCAAGTCTTGAGCTGGCAAGGATCATAGAGTGGAGGAAGAAGAACGTTAGAGCTGGAAGGGACCTTGGAACCTGTCTATTCTAATCCCCTCATGTTTCAGAGAATGAAGCAGGCCTCATGTCCTTAGTCTCACTGAGGGTCTTAATTTCCCTTCCAGCCCAGTTTGGGCCCCTTTCAACACCACCCCTCCCCTCATAAGTGTGGCTCTAGACCAGATATTATTAACCTTTTCTTTTGTATCATGGACCCTTTCGGCAGTCTGGTGACGCCTGACTCCTCAGAGTTACATTTTTAAATTCATAAAATATATTTTTTTGTATAGAATTTCAAAGGAAATTATATTGAAATGTGAAACTATATTGGAACCATATGGGAAATAGGAAATCATATTGAAATATGGCCATCAAAATTAAAAAAACAACAACCAAGTTCACAGCCCCCCCCGAAATGAGTCTGTGGGCCCCAAGGTGAAGAACCCCTGATCTAGAGGGATAGAAAGGGGTGATCCCCAGGCAAGACCCTGGTAGTCCAGCCATCCTCTTGGTACCGTGCAGAACCCAAGGAAAAAGGAAAAGCTTGGGTTTATCAGGAGCAGATATCTATCTAGGTCCAGGGGTGCAGAGGCCTGGGTGATTGGGCAGTGACTGCTTCCTCCCTGTCTCCTCTCTCATCTGCTTCTGTTTGTTTCCCTGCCCCGGCTCCCCCAAGCCTGAGCCCCTGCTGGCCGTCAGGGTGGCCGGGGGAAGAATGGCGTGTCCTCTGAATCTGGGCCAAGAGGAACAGGTGGCCCGAAAGTTGAAGCTTGTTGGGCTCATAGCTGCATGGCCCCCGTGTAAGGGATCCTTCTCGTCCTGAACCTCCTCCTCCTCCTCCTCCTCCTTTACTGCCTCCCCAGCTCCGTGCACTCGTTATAGAGCAGCACCAGCTTCGGCAGCCACACGTCTCTGCCCTGGCCCGGGCCTGGCCACCAGGTAACCTTCCCACCCCCTCCACTCACCCCGTCCCCTAGTCCCTTACCACTCAACACCTTCTAGATCTGAGGGCCATTCATATTCAGTCTGTACAAGCCAGAGTCAGGACTGGATTCCCTATGCCCCCTGGCATGCCCCAGAGCTGCCTCTAAATGCCTTTTCTCCCACCCCTCAGTTCTCCGGATTTCCCACCCCTGCCAGGACCCATCTTGGTCAGGAACTCCCCTAGCTTACCTCCTGTTTCCTTCTGCCCTTTCATTCCCTGGGACTGAAACCTCCCTTCCCCTCCTCTCTCTGCAGGCAATAGTCCGACACACTAGAGGCAGACAAGCAGAAGGACCAGCCTCGCTGATGGCAACCATAGGCAAAGGAACAGCAGAGCCAGGAGCCCCGAGCCCAGAAGCAGGTCCAGGTGCTGGGATTGCGGGTGGTAGCTGGCAGGTGGTAGGTAGGGGGAATAGCCTGCGCTAGGAGAACTTGAAACCCTGAGGTGGGAGGCTGAAGTGAAGCCCCCTGCCCTCCCTGCTACCCTCTGGGCTGGAATCCTTCTCTTTGTGAGGCTGTGCCCTAAGCTGCTGTGTTTCCTGCCATCCTCTGCTTATAGTCCCTAGCTCAGAGCACAGGACAGTAAGGGATGCCCTCTGGAGCCTTGTGTGGGAGAGAAGAGACTCTTGTCTTCCTCGTTAGAAAGGAAGCTCCTTGAGGTCAGGGGCTGTGTTTTTGCCTTTCTTTGCATCTCCTGCTCTTAGCATAGGCCCTGGAGTATAGTAAGCGCTCAATAAATTCTTGTTGACTGATTGATGCCAAGCCCAAGCTCCTCGTTTTATAGACTAGGAAACGGAGGCCCAAACATAGGAAATGACTTTCTCCTTCAGTAGCAGAATTGGTATTTTAAACCAGCTCCTTGGGCTCCAAATCCGGGGCTTTTTCCACTACTCCATAGGTCTCCTCAAGAGAAATAGGAAGTACCGAGCAGGCAGGAAGTTAGAGTCTGGGCACTGGGCAAACCCTTGGCATATTCCCACTCCCTTTCTGGAAAAGATGCACAGCCGCCCTGTGCAGAGGGTCCAGTTCTGGGCATTCCTGGAAAGGGGCAAGCAGGATACAGGGGTGGGTCTCACTGTCAGCCAGCCAGGGGAAGTGGACATGAGCATTTCAGATACAGAGGTGGAAGCTGTGGGCACTATCTAGCTGTCCTGAAAGGGCCTGGCACATGGGCCAGGAATCTAGACGCTAACAATGAGATTTTGGGGAAAGAGTGCTGTACTTGGAGTCAAGAGAGATGTGCGTTCAGATCCCAGTCCCGGTGGTAGGTGATCATGGGCAAGTCCGTACCTCTTTTTTTTTTTTTTTTTTTGGTTAGAGAATGGGGTTAAGTGACTTGTCTAGGGTCACACAGCTAGTAAGTGTCAAGCGTCTGAGGCCGGATTTGAACTCAGGTCCTCCTGACTCCAGGGCTGGTGCTCTATCGGCTGTGCCACCTAGCTGCGCCCAAGTCCCTTCCTCTTTCTGGGCTTCAGTTTTCTCTTTTGCAAAATGATAGGACTGCATTAGATGATGCTTAAGGTTCCTTTCACCTTTAAGATCCTATGATTCTCTCTGAACCTTAGCCCACCTTTGTAAAAATGGTAGAGGGGAAGGGTTGGGGAGGGCTATAATCCTTGCCCTATCTGTTGCTCAAGCTATAGAAATATAAGTGGTTGTTACTGTTATTGGGGGGATGGATTAAAAAGACCGGGCAGGGCCAGGGAGCTACAGCACATTGTCTGAGGTGGAGCTCAGGGGACCACCCAATTTAATATCACCTTCTCACTTGCAGACAATGCCCCCAAAGGCAAGGCTGATGAGGCTTCTCTTGTCCAGGAGAAAGGAGCTGTGCCTCCAGGCCAGCCCCTGCCTGGCAGCCCAGGCCCCCCCAAGGAGAAAGCTGCTACTGCTGGTGGGGTGGCCCACCCAGATGGAGGGGCAGGAGAGGCACCCCTGGCATCGGAGGCGAGTGCCGGCCCACCGGCTGCCCTGCCCCAGCAGTCCCTACCGATGGAATCGTCAGGGAAGAAACCAGAGGCTGGCACCAAGGGGTCTGAGACTGGGCAGGACAACAAGGGTGGCCAAGGAGCAGGAGAACGGACCAAGGAAGAAAAGAAGCCAGCAGGCAAAGCAGACCCTAAGAGGGCCCCTCCACCCTTCCTGCACAGCCCCAGCTGCCCTGCCACTATCCAGAGGTAAGTGCTCTCCTTTCTTAGCACCCACAGGGCTTTTCACCTGAGCTATGAGACCTTGGAGCCAATGACAGTGAAAGGCAGTAAGACCTGGGTTCTCATCTTAGCTCTGTTTCCAACTTGCGTGATCTTAAACAAGTCATTTTCCCTCCCTAGCTTTCATCTCTGCAAAATGAGGAAGGGTTGCCCTAACTATCCCTCTAAGATTCCTTTCAGCTCTAAAAAGACATTTATAAGTCTAGCATCTTGTAAATTTATTCCCCTTGTCTCCCTCTCTGGGGTGCCGGTCTTCGTCCTCCCTATTCTGAGGAACGACTCATCAGGTCTCCTGACACCATGCATGACTTTTCCTGGATACCTATTCCCTTTGTCCCCTCCCCTGAGGCCTAGAATTTGACCTGGTGATGGAGTTGTCTCTCTGGTAACCTTCCCTGTGAGCACAGACCCTACATGGGTCTCTGAGTTGGCTGGGGAATGAGGAGCCTTTACCAATGAAAGGCTCAGTGGATCTAAAATCTACCCTTTCCCTCTCTTCTAGCTCTGAGAAACCGATGGAGAAGAGCCTGTGGGAAGCAGAGAAAGCTCTCAGTGGAAAGGAGAGTTCTCAGATCTCAGGAACCATCCCTGGACAAGCCAGCTCCACCCCCGGTGCTGCTAGCAAGGTTGCAGAGGGAGGGAAGAAGTTGGTAGATCCTCAGGCAGGGAGCCAGAAGGAGAAGCCTTTGGAGAAGGCTCAGGGCCCAGAAGGAGAGAGATCCCAGGCCCAGCCCAGCCCAGCTAGTCCTCCCAAAGCCCAGCCGGACAGCAGCTCGGCTAAAGAAGGGGACGACCCTGAAGGGATCGTGTTCCAGGCTGTTCCCTTGGAAAAAGAGGCGACAGAGAAGACTGCTTGTCCTAGTGCCAACAAAGAGGATAACTTTGAGATTCTGGGTAGGTTTAGCAATGAGGTGGGGTTCAGCATGGGGGTAGCCTATGTCTAGGGCTTAAGGACCATGGTCCCCAAACTCTGGTGTTCTTTCCCCCAACTCAATGAGGTCTGTAGCCTGCAGAAGAACCAAAGGGACCAGGATCTTGTGCCAACCAGATCCAAGGCCCAGCCTGAATGGCCCCCGGGGCAGTAATATTAGACTCAGAAAAGACACTGCCAACCCTACTCTCCCCCCACCCCCCCAGCCTGGGGACAAGTTGGGGCCTGACCTTTGCTCACTCAGCTCAGGCTCCCAGACAGGATTCCCTTTCTGGCCAAGGAGAGGGCTCGAGGCAGGGGCACCGAGCCCTGACATCGAGCAGATGTCACTGGATAGGGCCGGAAAATCAGGCAACCTCATGCATTGGGGCAGAAGTCTGAGTTCAGCTCTGGTTTCATCCCCAGCATCCCGTCTGTCCTCCCACCCCCACTCCATGCCTATACTTCTCTTACCCTAGTGAGGCAGAAGCCTGAGTAGTATGTAAGATGCTTTGAGATCCTTCCTAGACCAGAGGAATATTTTTTTTTTAAAGGAAGGAAGCAGGCTTGCTAACAAGAACAATAATAATTACACGTCATGTTTCTGTAGTGTTTCAAGTTTTACAAAGTACTTTTTTTTTTTTTTTTTTGCTTTTTGGTGAGGCAATCGGGGTTAAGTGATCTGCCCAGGGTCACACAGCTAGTAAGTGTCAAGTATCTGAAGTCGGATTTGAACTCAGGTCCTCCTGACTCCAAGGCTGGAGCTCTATCCACTGTGCCACCTAGCTGCCCCCTGCAAAGTACTTTCTTCACATAAAATGAGGACAATAATCCTTTCTCAACCCATCTCACAGGGGTGTTGTGAATAATGATGATGATGATGATGATAGCTAATATTTATGTCGAGCTTACAATGTGCCATGCACTGTGCTATGTGCTTTACAAATATTATCTCATTGGATCCTTACAACAATCTTGGAGGCAAATGCTATTATTTTCCCCATTTTACAGACACGGAAACTGGGGTTAAGTGACTTTCCCAGAGTCACACAGCTAGGAATGTGTGAGGCTGGATTTGAACTCTCCTGACTCCAGGCCCAACGCTCTGTTCACTGTGCCATTTGGCTGCCTCATTTCTGAGAATCAAAAAAAATAATGATTTATAAATTCAATCAGTCACTAAGTATTTATTAAGCATCTACAATGTGTCAGGCACTGTTCTAATTATGTGATCTGAGTTGCTTGGTGCAGATGTGAATGACTATGATCCTTAGGTTCTAGATCCAGCTGTGAAGAATTGTGATAAAGACCATAGGCAGCTGGAAAGGATGCCTGAGGTCATCTACTCTGATCCTCCCATTTCACAGATATAGAAACTGAAGACTAGGGAGTTAAATGACTTGCCCAAGGCCATATACATAGTGGATAGCAGAGTAAGAATTTGAACCCAGATTCTCTGATTCCAAATCCATTGCCCTTTTTCAATATACTCAGCTCCCAGATGTGAGGGAGTTTCATTGTTGGGTTCTAGATACAGAGGTGAGGGGGTTGGACTTCTAAGAATTGTTAGGTTCTAGACTCAAATGTGCAGGGTTAAATTCTAGCTATAGATGAGAAAATTTGGGATTGTTTGATTCTAGATAATTAATGAGAAGAATTGAGATTGTTAGGTTCTAGATATGGATGAAAGGAGTTGGAATTGTTTGGTTCTAGACACAACTGGAGGGGTTAAATTCTAGAGATTGATAAGAAGAAGTAGGATGGTTATGTTCCAGATACAGATAAGAGGGGTTGGGATAATTAGGTTCTAGACACAACTGTGAGGGGTAAAATTCTAAATATTGATGAGAGGAATTGAGATGGTTGGGTTCCAGATACAGATGAGGGAGATTAGGATTGTTGGGTTCTAGATATAGTGGAAAGAAATTAAAAAGGTTAGTTTCCAGATACAGATGAGGGGGGTTGGGATTGTTGGGTTCTAGATATAGCAGAAAGAAATTAAAAGGGTTAGTTTCCAGATAACAGGTCAGGGGGGTTGGGATTGTTGGATTCTAGATTTAGATGGGAGGTGCCAGACCATTCTGCTGGACTGAGAGGTTGGGAGTGGCAGTCTCTGGAGATGGAGATGAAGGGCTGGGCTTGTTGATCTCTGAATGTGCATGACTGAGATTCTTAGTTTCTAGATACAGATATGAGGGGCTGTGAGAAAGCTGCTGAAGTGAAGAATTCATTACTTATGAAGTTAGAAGGACTACAGGTGAAACACCCAGCTCACTACACGTCCTTACTTTAACTGATGCAGACATAAGTAGACCTCGGTCCCTGCCTTCAGGGAGGTCACAACATAGTCTGGGCTGGGGAGAGTACCATCTCAGGTGGATCAGGGTACATAAATGCTGATCTCCAGGGCACAGAAAGAGGGACTCCAGGAGCTCAGTGAAGGGAGGAGTTCCACACAGTCTTGGGCTGCATTGCTCCAGGCAGGTTTGATGGGCATTCTTGAAGGCCTGGGGACTCCAGAGGGGCTATAATGGGAGCAGCGGTGCCTGACTGAGGAAGTCAGACTAAATTATTTCTAATGGCCTTTCTGGTTCTGTTGTGGCACCTCCTAAGATCACATTCAGCTTTAACACTGTTATGAAAGAGGCAGCTGCATAGGCATCCTGGATAGAGGAATGGTTTGGGAGTTAGAAAGACTTGAGTTGAGTCCTGCCTGTGACACATACCAGCTGTGTGACCATGGGTATGTTACTTAACCTCTAAATGTTCTCAGGCAACTCCATAAGACCATAAGTTAGAGAGGAGTTGCTGTTCATCAGTGGAAAGAATTTTCACCCCAGGAGCTCCCTACACATGGAATCGCTGGTATGGAGCACAAAAATTCTGTTGAGGCCCCTCTCAGATCTAGAGTCTGTGACTATCCAGAGGCAATAGAGAACCATAGAATGTTCTTGAGCAGAGGAGGAACAAAGTGAACCTGAAGGGAAATAAGCATTTATATAGAGCCTACTGTGTGCCAGGTGATTTACAAATATTATCTCATTAGCTCCTCACTACAGCACTTCAGGTAGGTTCTATTATTATCCCTATTTTCCTATTAGGGAAACTGAGGTAGACAGAGGCTAAATGACTTGCCCAGGGTCATACAGCTAGAAAGTGTAGGTATCTGAAGCCAGATTTGAACTTGTCTTCCTAACTTCAGGCCCGGTGCTCTATCTTCTGCGCCACCTAGCGGCCTCCTAGGGGCAATTAAGGCTTTGCCAAGTTTGGGGCTGAGATGATGAATATTACTTGTCTTTAATTCCCTATGGGAGGGGTATGGCTGGAACCGACTCTGTTAGGGCCCTAGGAGGAGGTGAGGTAGGGTGAAGAGAATCTGTGGGGTCAGGGAGATGGTGGAGAGTCAGTAACAGCCTGCCACGCTGGACCCAAAGTCCTCCCTGAGCCACGCCGCTGCTCTCTAGCAAAGAGACTGGGCTCCCCCTTGCAGAGGTCTGAAGGAAGCCTTCTGAGAGGGCTGCCTCCCATAGAAAGTGCCACTGCTCCCCGGGATCCAACCCTGAGCAAAGACTGCTTATTCCTGGTCTTTGGCACTAGGTGGCAACCTCTGTCTATGGCAAACGTGGCTTCTCAGACTCTTTCTGGGGATTTCTTCCCCTTCTCTACCTCTCCAAAATAATAATAATAATAATAATTAATATTTATATAGCACTTACTATGTGCCAGGCACTGTGCTAAGCACAATTATTTTCTCGTTTGATCCTCAAAACCCTAGGTTTTATTAATATCCTCATTTTAAAGATGAGGAAACTGAGGCAGGCAGAGGTTAAGTGACTTGTCAGGGTCTCATAGCTAAGAAATGTCTGAGGCTGGATTTGAACTCAGGTCATAACAGCTAACTTGTATATAGCTCTTTAAACTTTACAACGCCCAATGCTGGGAGGTAGATGCTATTATTGTCCCCATATCACCAATGAGGAAATTGAGGCTGAAAAAGGTTATGAATGACTTGTCCAAGGTCACACAGCTAGAAATATCTGATGCAGGATTTGAACTAAGATCTTTATGGTATAGTCAGACACGATCTGCCATGTTGCTGCCTCTCTCTCTCTCCTCATAACCAGTATGTTTCAGCCCCTGCGTCCATAAATAAGGCCATCAGGGAAGAATGTCTCGAGGAGGGGATAGGTTCTCTGGTCCCAACAGACCTCTGCTTTGATTACTTGATGACGTAGTAGTGGGGCTGGGAGGTACTCGGGGGTGTCTGTAAGGCTTTTAGGGTCTTGGACTATAACGAAACATAGAATGACAGAGCTCGTTCAACTCCCTCATTTTACAGAGAAAGAAACTGTCCCTGGAGAGGTCAAGTCACATAATCTCAGGAAGTCCGAGTAGTAATCACACAGGTTGTAGGGCTAGGATTCAAAAGTTCAAGTACTAAATTCTATGATCCTATGATCCCAGGTTCTCTGATTCTCAACCCACTTCCCTGTGGCTCACACAATTAGTCCAAGCCAGGACTCAAATTCAGTTCTTCTGACTCCTGAACTAGCACTCCTTCCATGTAATGCCTCCCTCCCACATTATCAGCCATTAATGCTTGCTCCCAGAGTTTTAGCAGGGATTAACTAAAGTCGGCTGAGCCTAAATACAGGACTGGGGATCCACCTGAGTTCCTAGGGGGATGGATGGGTCAGTTGTGGTGATGTTTTTCTTTTTTAACATGTGTTTTTTAAAACTTTGAGTTCCAAATTTTCTCCCTTCCTCCCTTCCCACCCACCCTCATTGAAAAGGCAAGCATCTTGATACAGGTTATGTATGTGCAGTCATGCAAAACACTCCATAGTAGTCCTGTTGTAAAAAACTAAGTATATTTCTCTTCATCCTATCCTAACCCCTCCCTACCCCGTTTATTCTATTCTCTCTTTTGACCCTGTCCCTCCTCAGAAGTGTTTGCTTTTGATTATCCCCTCCCCCAATCTGCCCTCCTCTCTATCAACCCCCTGTTCTCTTGTCCCCTTCCCCCCTTATTTTTCTGACGGGTAAGATAGATTTCCATACCCAGTTGTGGAGGTGTTTTTCTAAGGGAGTATGGTCCAGCTCCTTTCCCAGAGCTGATTCAGATTCTGTCTGCTTAGTCCAGTCTATGTTCTGCATGCAACAATCTCTTAATCAGTGACCAAGCATTGATTAAGTGCCTACTGTGTGCCATGCAGCGGAGAATGACAAAGGCCAACCCCTGCCTTAATGAATGTGTATTTTATTTGTTCTCAGATGACTGCCCCCCTCCTCCGGCTCCCTTCCCCCACCGTATTGTGGAGCTAAGGACTGCAAATGTGAGCAGCGAATTCACCATCAACTCCCAGCATCAACTAGGAGGGTAAGAAGCCAGACTGATGCATGGGTGGAGAGCCTATGCCAGCCTGGTTTGGGTGCAAAGGGAGGGTAGGCGGGAGGGCAGGTAATTCAATTCCTTGAGATTTATTAAGCACCTATCCCAGGTGTTGGGGATGAAGGCAGGGCCCTCCTCTGGTTGGTGAGGAGGGTGAGGAGGAGACAGAGAGAGGAAATAGACACTGGAGATCCTTTCCTGCCCACCTTTAGCATAGATGGACCTACGAGGGTCCAACTTGCCTGGCAATATGCCTTGTAAGTAGAAGGCATTCGATAAATGCTGGTTGAATTCAATTCAATTGGACTGGATTGAATTGAATTCAACCAAAATTGATTTCAACCCACCATTTATTAAGTACCTCCTATGTGGGAGGCACTTTGCCAGGCATTGGTGATATAAAGACAAAAAGGAAGCAGTTCTTGCCCTCAAGGAGATTATATTCAACTGTGGAGGTCCAACATGTACACAGAGAAGTATTATACCAGGTAATTTGAAAAGGGAGAGAGTATTAGTGCCTAGGGGGGAAGGTAGGGGAAATTTCAGGGATCCCCACATCTGTCCTGCTTTACTGGAGGCAGAGAAAGGTGAATTTGGGGGAAGCGGGTGCTGTCCCCTTAGCAGGGTAGCAGTGGAATATTTTCAGAGGGAGTGGAAAAGAGTGCTGGAAAAAGCTGGGTTCAAATTCTGCAACACTTACTGGCTGTGGGACCCTGAGCAAGTCATTTAATCTCTTTAAGTCTCAGCTTCCTCCTCTGCAAAATGGGACAATAACAGTGCTTCCCTCCCAAGAGTTGTGAAACTCAAATTAGGGAATATTTATAAAATGTTTTGTAGACTTTAAAGCTGGAGTATGCTGGAACCAACTCCAGCTGGCTCAAGAGAGTCAATTGTTAAATTTTCAATGTGAGCATTTATACCTCTGAAAAACCCACAAGTCATTTATTGTTTTATCGATTTGTTGTTTTGTTGTTCATCTAGACCAGAGGTTCCCAAACTTATTTGGCCTACTGCCTTCTTTTAAAAAAAAATTTACTCAGCACCCCCATGGAAATTTTCTTTAACCCTTTAACATTTTTTTTTGAAATTTGCATCATTATAATATATGTATATATATTAAAATGACATATCTTAAATTTAATAATTTATTATAAATTTGTGGGTTTTTTCCTGCATTGAAACTTTGATGATGCAATATTGCATCATGTAACTGTATAGTACTGTATCGTAAACAAGTCACACGCACATATTCCTGCTGATGCATGTTGGACTTCCTGCCAATGTGTGACATGCTTGTCTGCCAACACTTGCTTGTTAAGACCTGTTGGTGGACTTGACCACTGATCAGTTATAACTTTCATTTTATGTGTTTATTTGGAAAATAACATAATCACTACAAATTTAACTCTATTACACAACAGATGAAACATACGAATGATTTTTCAAAATTTTCTTCTCTTCTTATGATTTCACCATCCCCTTGTTTTTATTCAATGCCCCCCAGTTGCACCCAAGACAACTACTGCCCCCCACCATTGTCCTCCTAAGGGGTGGTATTCCCCACTTTGGGAAACTTTGGCTAGACTTAAGAAAGTGATAGAGAAAAATAATGAATATTAAACCTAAATGTGTGCTTTGTATATGCATTTTTTTTCAGGAGCTGGTTATTAAACACCCACCAGCATACCCCTGATTAAAGCAAACAGATTAACGTTAGCTATTATTATGCCTGACCTTGGACAGCCCTGACTTAGCTCATACTGCCTCTCACTGCCTGGGTCACAGGATATGGGGGTGACCCAGCTTAGAAGGTGGGGTGTGTTTGTGTAACATTTTATTGTTCTTTTGTACATGCGCGGGAGTGCTTGTGCGCACGTGTGCACACACACACACACACACACATACACCGCGCATACAAAACCAGTGATCCTTCCTGGTTCTCCCTTCCCTGTAGGCTTTGATCTTTTGGACCTCCCCTGGGGGAAGATTGGAGCTCCTAAGAGAGGCCTGAAGGGTTCTTTAGTTATTCCTCAAATCTACTTGAGGGCCATCTCCAGTCGTCCTGATGGATATCTGGCCACTGGACCCAGATGACTCCAGAGCAGAAAGTGAGGCTGGTGACTTTGCACAGCCCTCCCTCACTTAAATCACCACCCTGATGTCATGGTCCTCTTCCAGAACAAAGGACAAACAACAATAATCTATTTAATTTATTTGTTTTATTGTTGGATTCTCATGGCAGTCCCATTTGGTCATTACAATTTTATAGATGAGGAAAGGGGCAGCTAGGTGGTACAGTGGTTAAAGTGCCAGGCCTGGAGTCAAGAAGGCTCATCTTCCTGAGTTCAAATCTGGCCTCAGACACTTACTAGCTGTGTGACCATAGGCACGTCACTTCACCTTGTTTGCCTCAGTTTCCTCATCTGTAAAATGAGCTGGGAGAAGGAAATGGCAAACCACCCCAGTGTCTTTGCCAAGAAAACCCCAGATGGGTTCATGAAGAGTCAGACAGGACTGAAATGACTGAACAACAGATGAGGAAAATGAGGCTCATTGAGAAGAAGGACCTTGTTGGAGGTCACACAGAAGCAGGGCTAGAAACTAGTTCAGTTATCTTCCTCCCCAGGGAGTGGGTGGGGTCAGTGATCAATCTGGGTTGAGGCCAAGCCATTGCTGGGCATATTGTACCTTGTTCCCTTGGCCAATGGCCCTCTGACCCTCAACTCCTCCTTTCTCTAGGGGGAAATTTGGGGAAGTTTGCACATGTACAGAGAAAGCCACAGGCCTCAAATTGGCTGCGAAGATCATCAAGAAGCAAAGCCCGAAAGACAAGGTGGGGTCTTCCGGGGCAGCAGGTGGATGTTGTCTGTCTTCTCATCCTTTGGGAATGAATAGGGCACTGGCAAGCTGGGTGACTCCAGGAGGAAGCTGGCTCTTCAGGCATCCTGTCTTTCCCAGCTCCCTCCATCTATCACACGTGTCCCTTCTAGAATCTCTCTCCCTTGTAAAAGGCTATAGGAAGAGAGCTCTGGAGGGAATGCCTGAACTGCAGATCCTTCCACTTTCTCCCTACCTAGGGCTTCCTCTTCTTGATAAGACTCTAGACTTTCTCTTGGTCCAAAGAGGGCAGTTTGAGGTCCATCTCTCTCCCCCTCATCCCTGCCCCAGAAAGATACCTAGCCCCTATAATTCCAGCATCCAGCACAGGATTGCAAGCAGTGAGACATTTGTTTAAGGCTTGGTGGTCATGAAGGTGATGGCAAACATGATGATAATGGTGGTAATGATGTTGGTGGTGAGGCTGCTACAAAGTTAATGGTGGTAGATATAGTGACTAGTGATGATAATGATAATGGTCATGATGATGGTGGTAATGATAGTGGTGATGGTGATGGTGGTGGTGATGGTAGATCTAGTGACTGGTGGTGATAATGATAATGGTGGTGGTGATGATGGTGATGGTGGTGGGAATGACGATGATGGTGGTGGGGGTGGGGGGGTGATGGTGGTGGTGATGCTGTTGCAATATTAATGATTCTGGTGAATATGGGGGACTATAATGGAAGGTGTGGTTGTGGTGATGGAGGTGATAATGATAATGGCAAATACAGTAAATGGTAAAACAAAAGGGGGCTAGTGATGATATTGTTGGTGGTGATAGTGATGCTGTCAATGTTCTCTGACTGTTTCTGGAACCCAGGAGATGGCACTGTTGGAAATTGAGGTGATGAACCAGTTGAACCACCAAAATCTGATCCAGCTCTATGCAGCCATCGAGACCTCACATGAGATCATCCTCTTCATGGAATTGTGAGTGAACAATTAGGGGGAGGACAGGCATTTTCCAAGAAGATGGAGGAGCTCATTCTGTACCTGAGCCTTCAATCTGACCTCCACTTCCTAAACCTCATTCTAAGTGGCCTTCCCTGAAGAACTGCAGGTCCCCACCCCTAGATCCACATCTCCCCCAGTGCCAAACACACATCTAGACAGTGTGGGGTAGTGGGAAGTGTTCTGTATTTGGCTCAGAAGATCTGGGTTCAAGTTCTGACTTTACCATGTCAACAAATACATATTCAGGAAACATCTATTAGACACCTACCATGTGTAGAACTGTGTGCTTTGTGCTGGGGAAGTTACAAAATTTAGATGAGACAGGGTACCTGCCCTCATGGAGCTCATATTCTAGTGGGGGTGAGAGGTAGGGGAAAAGATACAGACATGGTTGCTATCACATACAATATTTCATTATATATATAGTGAGCAGTACAAATAAAATGCCATGGGAGATAGAGGAGGATCAGGGAATGCTTCCTGGAGGAGTAGGACCTTCAAGAGTGGGTGGGATTCCAACTAGCAAAAGAAAAAGATTGGGGGAACATTCAAAGCACAGAAAATATTGTCTGAGCAAAGGCATTGTCAGTACGAGGTGTCTTGGGAGAGGTCCAGCTTGGATTGAGTATTGAGTATAAGGCTAGAAAGGTAAATAAAGTGTTGCCAGATAATTTTGGGTTTTGAAGGCCAGGAAAGGGACTCTAACTTTTACTCGGCTGGTAATAAGGAGTCACTAGAGTTTTTGAGTAGGAGCATGACAAGATGGATTAATACACAGGGAAGATTTTTTCAGGCAACAGGATAAAGGATAGATTGAAGGGGGAAAAGTGTGGAAATAGAAGAATCCAGGCAGATAGTAATGAAGGCCCATATAAGGGGAATGGCAGGAGGTATAGAGAGGATGAATGAGGTATGAGAGAGAATTCAGACACAAAACTGACAGGTTAATTGGATGGGAGGGCTGAAGGAGGAAGAAGAGTCAAAGGTTGAATCAAGGTTTGGCTAGAAAGGAGGGCATTGCTAGATTGGGGCCCCGAGAGAAGTTCAGCTTGGGTAGAGGCCGTAGATCCACCAACTTTTGTATGGAGGGTACGGAGAATATGAACCTGAGGCTAGAAAGATGGGGCACTGCTAGATTGTAGAGGGCTTGGATGTTACGCAGAAGTATTTGAACTTTCTCTGGCTATGTGATCCTAGACAAGTCATGGTCTTGTCCTGAGCCTCAGTTTCCCTATCTGTAAAATGGGACTGATAATCCTCATGGTATTAACCTTCACAAAGCTGTGTGGGGAAATTGATATAAAAATTTCAGCTCTGATGATGTTTATTGTTGGATGGGGCTAGGTGGGAAGAGAGGGTGGCTGGAGGCTGGGGTCATGGTGGTGTCTTATACACCCAGCGTGGAGGGTGGAGAGCTGTTCGAGAGGATTGTGGATGAGGACTACCAGCTGACCGAGGTGGATACCATGGTGTTCGTCAGGCAAATCTGTGATGGGATCCTTTTTATGCACAAAATGAGAGTCCTTCACCTAGACCTCAAGGTACCTGGGTTGCCAGAGCCAGCCTGAGCTTGGGTCAGTGGACTGAGGAGGAGGGTGAGGGGCATGGGAAGGTGGTAATGAATAGGCCAGGAATAGTCAGCCTTTGAGTGTCCTATGGGCCCTGCTTGGGTGGAACACTGTCTTGAGTTTGCAGAACTTACATGGGAAGAGAACCCCTGCTTTCTGGGGCTCTTCCAGCCTTACTTTAGGCCTTTCTAAAATAGAGATGATAATACTTGCATTCTCTGCTTCACAGGCAGAATGAGGAAAGTCGTTTGTAAACATTAAGGTCTACAGAATTTTGAAGTCTGAATAATTATTATTACAGCCTAGCGTGGGAGACAAGACGGACTGATTCATAGTTAGAGGGGCACTGGGAAGATCACATACCCACTGTCCTGGGCCGGCGCCAGAATCTTGCACCGTTAGAATTCTATTCTAACCATTCATTAATACCCAAGTTGATCAAAATGTTTGCTGGGAACAGATTTTGATTTGGGGAAATAGGGAGAGAAGTCCAAGCCCAGGATACTGTCTGAGCAGGACAGACTGGCCTAGGTGGGGGGCCTTGAGAAGCCAACGGCTGCAGGGGGATTCTGGGCACCTGAGAAAGGGCGCCACAGGGAGACGGGGCCTGCAGTGGAGACAAACTGCCCCAACATCACTCTTTCTATTGGCTTGCCATCACCAAAGACCAGGCCTGGGTGTGAGTCATACAGAGGTGATGGGGAGGGATGCCTTGCCCCTCCTCCCCAGAGGGACATTCAGACAATGGCAAGATTCAGAATGCTGGGAGAGACATTAGAACAGAATGGCAGAAGTATGTGTGTTTGGGGGGCAGTTCTTAGAAAATAGAATGTTAGAACACAGAATATTAGATCATAGAATATGAAGGGTCCTTAGAACATAGAATGTCAGGGTGGGGGAGGTGGTCCTTAGAAAATAGAATATCAAAACTTGGGGGTGGTATTTAACAGAATATTAGAACATAGAATGTCAGATCCTTAGAAAACAGAACGTCAGAACAGGCTGGGGGAGGTCTAGTAGAATGTTAGAACACAGAATGTTAGTACATAGGTTGGCAGAGCTGGGAGGGACCTCAGATATAGAATGGCAGAGGGTGAGAGGTCCTTAGAAAATAGAAAGTCAGAACTGGGATGGGGGAGGGCTAACAGAATGTTAAAACACAGAATGTTAGATGATAGAATGTTAAAACATAGACTGGCAGGGCTGGGAGGGACCTTAGAACATATAATGTCAGGGTGGTGGAGAAGGTCCTTAGAAGATAGAATGTCAGAACTGGGGGAGGGGTCTTACAGAATGTCAGAACACAGAATGTTAGAAGATAGAATGGCAGAGCTGGGGGCCTTAACAGAAATATTAGAACATAGGCTAGAAGAAACAGTAAAGTCCATCCACCTCATTTTAGAGATAGGAAAATAGGCCCAAAGTAGGGAGCAGGGTGATATAGTAAGTGTCAGGGCCAGTACTAAAAGCTCATGTCATGAGGCCTTGAAGAAAAGAGACAATTTGAAGAGCTGGCAAAGGGGAGTGGGGAGGGCCTTTCCCCAGGGAGTACCTTGAGATTATTTGGGGACCGGGGTGGCAGGTGGTGCTGGGGTAATCAGGATAGGCATCCTGGCCAGGGCAGAAATAGGAGCCCCTGGGTCTGAGGGGCTGTGTGGGTGTGGGGGCCTTGTCCTGTCTCTGCAGCCGGAGAACATATTATGTGTCAGCACCACGGGACACATGGTGAAGATCATCGACTTTGGCCTGGCACGGAGGTACCCCTCCCCTCCTCCCTCCCCCGTCCTGTCCTCCTGGCCCCCTCTCCCCGATTAGTGGGTGGGGTAGGGAAGAACCACTTTTCCCCAGCCCTGTGACCTCCTGCTCCAGTGGGGAGGGGAGGACAGCCCAGCGGAAGGGGAGTGTCCCAGTCTGCGGTCTGCAGTCTTCCCAGGGGTTTGGCTGGGAGTTTGAGAACACCAGCATGCCCTGTGCTTGAGCCCTGGGCTTCCTGGCTGTGTGCCTGGAAGTGGAAGGGGCAGGGGGAAGGGGAAAGCAAAAAGATAACAACCTTTTTGGGAGCCAGCACCCACCCACTGGCACCTGAACCTGAACCTGTGCTCCCCTTTCCCCTTCTCCCTCCAGGTACAATCCAAAAGAGAAGCTTAAAGTCAACTTTGGGACCCCTGAGTTCCTGTCCCCAGAGGTGGTGAATTATGACCAAATATCTGATAAAACAGACATGTGGAGTATGGGCGTGATCACCTACATGCTGTGAGCCAGGCTTCTGGGCCTTTCTCTGAAGCCCAGGGAAAAGGGGAAGGGGATTAGCCTTGCTGAGGGTGAAAAGGAGAGGATATAGACCTCATAGCCTGGCCAGTTGTGTCCAGGGTGCTGGACTTAGAGCCAGCAGATAAGGGATTGCATCCCACTTTTGCTTCTTAACACCTGTGTGTGTCCTGGACCACTCTGGGCCTGATTTCCCATCTGTGAAATGAGGGATTTGGGCTAGATGAGCCCCAAGGACTTTTCCAGCTCTCTCTAAATTCTGGGAAGAGGTATAGATAGGGGAAAGAGCACTGGAGTTGGAGTCAGAAGGCCCCGGTCTCTGTCATAGCTTTGCCACTAATCTGGGTGACTTTGGACAAGTCTCTTCATCTCTGGGAGCCAAGGTTCTCCAAGTGCATAATGTAGATAATAATAGCTCACCAGAGAGGTGTGATAGATAGAAAACTGGCCTTGGATCCAAGGAGAGCTGGGTTTGAGTCTCACCTCTGACGCCTGCTGCCTGTTTGACCCCGGGCCAAGTCACCTAACCTCTCAGTGCACTAAGGTAACTGTCTAAGGCTGAGGTCTCAGCCTTGAAGTCTCGGCATTCCCTGCTGGGACTCCCCTATACCCAGAACATCACCGATCTGAACCAAAACCAGACAGACCTCTGTTCTCATTAATCATAATTGCCATTTCTATAGCAAGATGGATCACTAAATACTTTAGGCTTGCTTCACCGGATTGTTACAGGGATAAAAGGACTTTGTAAACCTTAAAATGCCATAGAAATGTGAGTTTGGTTAAGGTCATTTTATTTGCTAGCCTTCTTGAGGCTAGTAAAGGAGAGAGAGGGAAAGGATATGGAAAAAAAAATGAGATTATCAAGAGAGGAAATCACTTCCCTAAGATCCAGAGATGAATTATCAGAGCCTTTGAAAGGAAAGAAGTTAGAGCCCAGTGTTCTAGTCTCAGATGCTAGAGGTTCTCTGAGACTTGAGAAAGGGAACAGGGGGGTGTGAACTTCCAGGGAGGCCTCCGGGGCTGGAGGAGGACTGAGCCTTCCCACCACAGGGTGCTTCCTGCTGTCTGTCCGCAGAGGATCAGATGTTTTCTGAGCGGGCTGAGACCAGCAGTCCCTCTTCAGGGGTCAGAGTTGCTGGGACATTGGAAAGAGACCTCCCGGTGCAAGGGAGCTCCCAGCTCTGCTACTGACTTGCTGGTTGATTTGGGGCAAGTCTGTCTTCTTTTGTGGGCCTTAGATTTATTTCCCATCTCTAAAATGGGGATGATAACACTTCCCTTCCAGCAACAGAATGAAATAACAGATGTGACGGTGCTTTGAAAAGTCTCCAAGTGTCACATGGCAATAAGTTAGTATTTATATGGTACTTTAAGGTTTGTTGTTGTTTGATTTAGTTGTGTCTGACTCTTCTTGACCCCATTTGGGTTTTGGTTTTTTTGTTTTTTTTTTTTGGCAAGGATACTGGAGTGCTTTGCCATTTCTTTCTCTAGTTCATTTTACTGATGAGGAAACTGAGGCAGACAGAGTTAAGTGACTTGCTTAGGGTCATACAGCTACTAAGTTTCTGAGGCTAGATTTGAACTCAGGAAGATGAGTCTTCTCAACTTCAGGCCTGGTGCTAGCTGCTTTAAGGTTTTCAAAGTACTTTTTACAAATATCTCATTTTATCCTCACAACAACTCCAAGAGCTAGGTGCTATTATTATCCCCATTTTAGAGATGAGGAAATTGATGAAATCACAGGTTAAGTAACTTGCTCAGCTAGTGAGTGTCTGAGGCTGGATTTGAACTCAGATCTTCTTGATTCCTGGTCGACTGATCTATCCATCTTGGCAGTTATCCACCCATTATTCCAATTAATAATAGATAATGAGTATGATATGTGAGGCACCATGGCATAGTAGCTAGAGATTCAGCCTCAGAGCCAGGATAGACCTGGATTCAAGTCATCCCTCTGGCATGTACTGTCTACGTAAATGTGGGCAATTCGTATAGCTAGCTCCTCAGTGCTCTGAGGACCTCTCTGCGGCTCTGTTGAAGGGCAGGGGCCAATCTATAATGATAAAGGAGCTGGCCTCTTTCTTTGTTTAAAAAAATGTCTCGCTGTCCTTTGTTCTTACATCACTTACATTCCCAATTTATCCTTCTCCTCACTCCCAGAGAGCCCTCTCTTATAACAGAGACTAAAAAAGAGGGGGGAAAAGGGAATAGAGAGAGAGACAGAGAGACAGACAGACAGAGAGACAGAGAGAGAGAGACTGAGACAGAGAGACAGAGAGACAGAGACAGAGAGACAGAGAGAGACAGACAGAAAGACAGAGACAGAGAGAGACTGAGACCGAGAGAGACAGAGAACAGAGAGAGAGACAGAGACAGAGACAGAGAGACAGACAGAGAGATAGAGACAGAGAGAGACAGAGAGACAGACAGAGAGACGGAGACAGAGAGAGAGACAGAGAGACAGACAGACAGAGAGACAGAGACAGAGAGACAGAGAGAGAGAGACTGAGACCGAGAGAGACAGAGAACAGAGAGACAGAGAGAGACTGAGACAGAGAGAGACCAGTTCAGCAAAACTAACGCATCAACCAAACCTGACATTACATACACTGTTCCACACCCATAGTCCCTTGCCTCTGCAAAGAAGGGAGAAAGACGCTTTCTTCTAGCTCTTCTTTGAGGCTAAGGGTGGTCATTATTATTTCATAGCATTCAATTTTGTTTGTTTCGTTGTTTCTGTCTGCGTTGCTGGAGTTACTGTGTGTGTTGTTTTGATGAATCCCTTTCCTTTTTTTTTTTTTAAACCTTCTCACCATCCTTTCTGAACCTTCCCAACTACGGTACTCCTCTCCACTGCCACTCCTATTGTCCTCCTGTTTCTCCAAAGTCTGTAGTAAAGCATCCCAACTTTTTTTTTTTGGAAGTACAGGTGTTGAAGAACACATGGGACAGCAAAAAAAAAAACAAAAAAACCAAAAAAACTCATAGATTTTGTAGTTGGAAGACCTAAATTACACCCTTTCCTTCTGATAAAGAAAAAGTTAGGCCGAGACCCTGGAGTTCATTCCTCCTCCCTATTTCATTCATTCATCCAACAAATAGCTATTAAGCACCTACTATTGTACACTGAACTGGGTTTAGTTTGCAGTCTGATATTGGGAAAAATCATGTAATCCTGGAATTGTAGATTTGGAGCTGAAGAGGTTTTAGATTATTTGGAGACAGAATTACAGAACCTGAGTTGAAAGGCACTTCAGAGACCATCTAGCATAACACATACCTGCATAAGAATCCTCTATACAAATTCCTGATTTGGCATTCACACCCCCAGTTATTGGAGACTCATTACGTCTAAGGCATGCGTTCTTAATCTGGCATCTGTTAAATTTGTTTTTTGTCTGTTTGTTTTGGTCGTGTGTGTGTGTGTGTGTGTGTGTGTGTGTGTGTGTGTGTGGCAATTGGGGTTAAGTGACTTGCCCAGAGTCACACAGCTAGTGAGCGTTATGTGTCTGAGGTCAGATTTGAACTCAGGTCCTCCTGACTCCAGGGCTGGTGCTCTGTCTACTGTGCCACCTAGCTACTCCTAAACTTATTTTTAAAAAAATATGTATTTTGAATACTGTAATGTAATTGGATTCCTTTGTAATCCCATGAATCTTATTTGATGCATTTAGAAACATGCTTCTGAGAAGGGGTCCATAGGCTTTACTGGGCTGCTGTTAAGAGCCCCTGAAATCTCTAGGGGAAGCCATTCACTCCACTTTGAGACAGTTCTTATGATGAAAAGTTTTTCCTTCCATCTTTCGGCATTTACAACCATGCTCCTCTGACCCTGCCCTTCTCCCTCTCCTCTCCTCCCTCATAACCCTTTCTTCCTCCTCATACTTCCCCCTCCCACCGCTCCTGGCAGGCTGAGTGGCCTCTCCCCATTCCTGGGAGATGATGACACCGAGACCCTCAACAATGTCCTGGCTGCCAACTGGTATTTTGACGAGGAGACCTTCGAGACCATCTCAGAGGAGGCAAAGGACTTTGTATCCAAGCTCATTATCAAGACCCCCAGGTAAGGCCTGGGCCCCTGTCATTTTTCCCATCCTGACTCTCTCTTCTGTGACCCCACCCTGACTCCAGTCCCATTCATTGCTTTCAATCACCCATACAAAATGGCCTACAACTTGGGAGACCCAAGCTCTGGTTCTGATTCTGCTCCTCACTCACTCTGGGCAAATCCCGTTTCCTTTCTGGGCTTCAGTTTCCCGAGCTGTGACGTAAAGTTAGACTAGATCAGTGGTTTTCAAAGTGTTGTCCTGGGACCCCTGGGGGTCCCCAAGACCCTTTCAGGGAATCTGCAGAGTCAAAACTATTTTTATGGGAATCCTAAGACATTTTCATTTCTAATATAGTAAATATTGAGAGATACATTACACACTAACCAAAGGTCTTTGGAGGGGACCTCAGTAATTTTTAAGAGTGTAAAGGAGTCCTGAGACTAAAAAATTTGAGAACTGCTGGACCGTGATGAAAGTGATCCCTAAAGCCCCTTCCAGTTTTGGCATGCCAGGACCATCTTTCCCCCTAGCCAAGGGTCCTTTTCCCCCGACCTCCCGGGGGTCTGGGATATGGGTCAGCAGGGCTCTGCAGAGTGCTGCAAAGGGCGGGGTGGATGTAGGCTCTGACAAAGCCACCTTTCCTAGAGAGCGGATGAGTGCGGCTCAGTGTCTGGCACACCCCTGGCTCAACAACCTGGCAGAGAAGGCCAAGCGCTGTAACCGGCTCCTCAAGTCTCAGATCCTGCTGAAGAAATATGTGATGAAGCGCCGCTGGAAGGTAGTTGGGTCAAAGAGGGGACGGGGAGGCCATTAAGGGTGGGGCCGGCGAGGGGACCCGGAGGAGCTCACAGTGTTTGGGTCAGGGACCCAGGCTGCCCCAAGCTCACCGCCTTGGCATCGAGGCAGAGAGCTGGAAGAGACCAAACTCCTCTCCCGCCTTTTGGAGTTGGGGCAAGTGACTTTCTCAAGGTCACCTAGGTGGTAAGGAACAGACCAGAAATAACACCAGGGCCCTCTGATTTCAAATGATGATCTCTTTTTACTGCATTTTAACTGCTGCCAGATTGGCAATCCTGTTATTTGATTTGGTTCGGTTTAGTCAGTCAATCAACAAGCATTTATTAAGTGCTCACTGTGTGCCAGGCACTGTGCTGATTACGGAGGAATTAAAAAGAAAGGTAAAAGCATAGTCTCTGCCCTCAAGGAACTCACATTCTAAGGTGCAAAAAAAATACGTTCAGGGGCAGCTGGGTGGCGCAGTGAGTAGAACTCCAGCCTTGGAGTCAGGAGGACCTGAGTTCAAATTTGGCCTCAAGCACTTGAAACTTACTAGCTATGTGACCCTGGGCAAGTCACTTAACCCCAACTGCCTCACCTCTCCCCAAAAAAAACTTAAAAAAAAAAGAAAAAGAACATACATTCAAAATATGTACAATGTGAATCACAGAGGATCACAGAACTTGAGTTGGAAGGGACCTTAGAGTCATTTAATTCAGTTTAATAATAATAATAATAGCTAGCTAGCCTTTATACAAAGCTTTAAGGTTTGCCAAAGGTTTTGCAAATATTATCTCATTTGATCCTCACAATGACCCTGGGAGGTAGATGCTTTTATTATCCCCATTTTACAGGTGAGAAAACTGAGGCAGACAGAGGTAAAATGACTTGCCAAGGGTCACACAGCTAGTAAATATCTAAGGGTGGATCTCTCACTCCAGGCCTGGTCCCTATCCACTATGCCATCTCACTGCCTGTGATTTGATTCAATTTAGCAAACATTTTCCAAACCTGTTCTCCAAACAGGGGCCTCACATAAAGATTAAGTGAGACCTGGGCAGTGGGAACTTGTGGACAATAATAATAACAATCGTAATAATGATAAAATAAAGCCTTCTTTTGATGCTTCTCCCAGCATCATGGAGGTAGGTGATGCTGGGCTCTCAGAGGCAGCACAGACTTTGGTTGGTTTTGCCAACCTGTGAAGGTCTTGAAAACAGCTTAGTGCTAGACTGTATGTCTGACTCAGAAGAGCCAGCCTAGCTGAATGTAGAGAGGAAGCTCACGTGTTGACACCCCCCATCCCCACCCCCGAATGCAATGTGGCTTGGCCACAACACCTTATGAGAACCTTCCAAGGTGTGAAGATGCTGTGATGGTTTATGTCAGAATAGTACGTGTCCTGATGAAATCACGGATGCCTGAAGAATTGAAGTGACAAAAGTAACTGCCATCTCTTCACTCCTTTGGGGTTTACAAAGAACTTTCCTCATGACAGATTTAGGCAAGAGTATAACCAGGGTGGGGCAATTGGAGCTTTGTTCTAGGGTGCTGAAATTTAGAGGGCACCAACAGTATATGTATTCCTTTGGTGGAGCTAAAGCTTAGAAACATTTGACCTTAGCATTCAGTTGGAACTGAATCATCTTAAAAAGGTTGATGAGGGGGGCAGCTAGGTGGCACAGTAGATAGAGCTCTGGCCTTGGAGTCAGGAGGACCTGAGTTCAAATCCAGCCTCAGACATTTGAAACTTACTAGCTGTGTAATCCTGGTCAAGTCACTTAACCCCCATTGCCTCACCAAAAAACAAACAAACAAAAAAAGGTTGATGAGAGGGAGTCTTTCATGTTTGTCTTGGCCACATATTATGGTATTTGCTCCAGGTACCATATTTGTTAATTAGAGCTCTGGTGCAATTGTTATTATCCCTATTTTACAGGTGAGAAAACTGAGGTTCAAAGAGCAAAGGGATTTGCCCAAAGTCACATAGGTAGTAAATATCAGAGATGGAATTTGAACTGAAAGCCTCCTCTCACCTGAGCCTGTGCTCTTTCCACTGCCTCTGATACAAAACAATGTGTGATCTGTGCTACAGGATAGGTACCTACAAAGTGATTTAGGGTAATGTCTGAGGAGAGTGAGAGCACTTCCATCTGGGAGAAATCAGGGCAGGCTTCCTGGAAGAGGCAATAGCTCAGTTGGGCCTTGAAGGATTTTGAGAGATGGATATAGGTGAAACACTAATACAATAAACATAAGTGTCCTAAGGGGTATCAATCTTTGAATGAATCTTGGGGGAAGAAAGTTCATGCCCTGACTAGACACTTTCTATTCTCCCCTAGAAAAATTTCATCGCTGTGAGTGCTGCCAACCGTTTCAAGAAGATCAGCAGCTCAGGAGCCCTGATGACTCTGGGGGTCTGAGGCCATGGGGGCTGTGTGGAGGCTGCAACAGAACAACCCAGAGAGCCTCAGGGGGTCCAAGGGCCCTGCAACTGGGAGGGTCTGAGGGCAATGGGCCAGGCCCCCAAGGAAAGGACAGTCGGGGTGACCATGCCTAGACTCCAACAGCTCTGTGCTTGGTGACTTGCCTGCTAACTGAGGCCCGACCCAGGGTGGGGGCTTCCCCTGCCAAAAGGTGGCCAGACCCAGATTCCTCCCTGTTCTCAAAGAATCTTCCTTTCCAGGCCCCCGACACACAAACACACAATTAACCCTCTGGGTCCTGTCATGCTTCCCTGACTGGATGCCGCTCATACACAGGCTTCATAGGATTTCAAGCAAGAAGGGGCCATAGAGATCATGTAGCCCAATTCTCTCATTTGACAGATGGGGAAACTGAGTCAGGCCAGAGTGGGGAAATGGCTCTCTGTGGTCACACAGTGATCAGATATCAGAGCTGGGGTAGGAACCCAAGTCTCCTGGCTCCAAATTCCGTGCCCTTGTTCCTACTGTTGGGTCTTACTCTCTGAGCACTGGAAGAGTGTTCAGTGGGAGGGTCCCTGTCACTGTGCTGGGGCTGTGGAGCCCATGATGGAGAGGTCACAGGCTTGTCTAAAACCCCATCCAGCTTTCACTCCAGAAACTCCTCTGACCTCAGGACCTTGCATCCCATGCCACATCTAAGTAGCTTCACTGCTCCGATCCTTTTTCCCACCCTGCAGCCCTCCAGCCTCAAGGGGAGTTACTAGCCCTTTCTTGGGGCTACTAGGTGGGTGTGGCTCATGGTCAGACTTAGGGGCCCTGGGAAGAGTAGAATACATTACGGCATCATGGAAAAAGAGCTGGATTTGGAGTAATGAGACCTGGATTCAAATTCTGGTTCTACTACTCACTAGCTGTGGCACCTCAAGCAAGTCACAACCTGTGGGCCTCAGTTTCCTCCTCTGTAAGTGAGGGAATTTTACTAAGTGTTCTCTAAGTTTCCTTTCAACTCTAAATCCTATGATCCTGGGTGCCCAAATGCTCCCAGTTCTCCTAAACATGAAGGGTACCCAGACTCTAAATCACTGTTTGCTGGGTGAGCTCTACAGCTGGGGTGGGGGGAATCCAGGGAAAAAACAGTTCCTATTGTGCCAGAAGGCTCATTGCACAGAACAGAAGGAAGAAAGAAAAGAAGGAAGGAAGGAAGGAAGGAAGGAAGCAAGCAAGCAAGCCCCTGACCCAGATCCCAGAAGGAGTCCCTAGCCAAGGGGGTGAGGGTGGGGGTAGACAGACAAGGGCTTTGTGTTTTCTGCTCACCCCCCTGGCCTTCCCAAGCCACCAACAGAGGCAGAGAGAGATGGAACCTGCCTCCTCCCCAGAAAAGGATTCCCCCACATAGCTAGAGTCCAGAGAGGCTGCGGTGCTAATGCAGACCAGCTGGGCCCCTAGCTGGCCTCCTCACCCCAATGAAAGCACCATTTCACAGTGACCACCAACAGGCAGGAACTTCTGTGTGTGAGTGAGCCAGAACTCGGGAGGAGGGCAGCCCTGCCCTTCCCTATGTCCCTTCTCCCCCTCTCCCTCCCCCCACCACATATACACATCCCACCATAGGTCAGCAAGAACCTGGGAAAACAGAGGTGGGGGGCAGGGGCGCTCCAGCAGTCTCCTAACAGAGTCAGCTAGCTCTTGTAGATCTGCTATCCAGAAGCCTCTGCCATCTCTCCTTCATATATAACTTCAGAAGGCACGGTGACACGAGCAAGCTCTTTAGATGACATCTCTGCCATCCAGAAGTGCTCAGGAACGGCCTCACTGCTCATCCCACCGTCCCACCTAGAACAGGTCTAAGTGATGCATTGCTGCTGGGCTCTTAGAGTGAAGTCACATGGGATGGCCATGATGTCACAGCAGCCGGGGGTGAGGGCTGGGATGATGGGTCACATCCTCAGAATGAAGAGCAGATTCAAGAGCGCTGGCTTTCATGTAAATAAATGTACAGGTTGAACAGCATCAGTCTGAATACGGACAGGGGGAGGGAGAAGAGGGGAGGGGAGGGGGAAGTCTGGGCAAGGGGCATGGTTCCCCCACCACCACTCTGTCAGACAATGAAAGGAGCTGGGGAGGAGTTTCTCTGTTCTCCAAATCACATTAGCTCCAAGCCCCCAGTTCTCTGTCCCTTGAACATGACCCTTTCCCTTATCCTAGAATATTGGAGATTATGTTGCTCCCCTCCTTCCCCGCCCCATACACACAGAGTTTACAAATAGGGGGAAAATTGAAACTCATGAAGGGATAGGGATTTGTCCCTACCTTGCTCTGTGACAAAGCAAATCAACGGAAGAGGAATCCGGGTTGCCTGACTCTCCAGGCTAGGGCTGTTTCCTTTATAGAAAGAGGGGCTTCTTGCTACCCTCTGCTTTCCAGTTCAAGGCAAAGATTCCTAGGCTAAAGAAGGAGACTTATACCTTTGCATAGGTTTAAACCCTGCAGAAAAGATAGGGCAGGTGTGATCATTTGACAGATGCTGAAACAGTTCCAGAAAGGGGAAATGATTTAACTAAGGTCATACAGCCCCAAAAGTAGAGCTGACTGCTGAGACAGGTGTAGGGTGGAAGAGTAGGAAACCTGTGGGCATGGGAATCTGCTCCCAGCTTTTCTGACTTTCAGAAAAAGCCCAGCTAACAAGGTTTGCCGAATGAAGGGGATTTAGTTCACAATCACAGTGGGTGGTCAGAGAATTTCCCCAGGGATAAAGGAAACTTTAAAGCTCCCAGGAGTTCCCTGGCCTCCCATTCAGCCTTTTACTCCACCTGTCATTTGGATCATCTCCATTACTTCCTTTTGCCCTAGTCCTATTTATTCCCCCACCCAGGCTGAGTCGCCACCCAGTGAGGGTGGGATGAGTCATTTGGGGAGGCTGGGGTGGGGAGATCAGCCTTGGGTCTGCACAGAGAGAAAGGAGTGTGGTGGTCCAGCCAGTACTAGTGAGCTAATGGGGTGGGGCATCCGGCTCTGCCAGGGAGTGGTGCAGTCTTCTGGTAGGCGAAGGCCCAAGGTTCAATCCTTGGGAGCCAACCGGGAGAAAGATGCCCTCTCTGAGCCCTTTCCTGTAGAGCAGTGGGGCATAAGATGAGTAGTACTAGATATGGAGGTGGAGGACCTAGGTTTAAATATTGGTTCTGCTACTTTCTGCCTGTGTGATATTAGGAAAGCTCTCTAGGCCTCACAGATCATAGATCCATAAAGATGGGAGAGACCTCAGAAACCATCTAATACAACCCCCTCATTTTACAGATGAGAAAACTGAGGCCCATGGAGATTTAAATAATTTACTTAAGAAATCTTCATTTGCAAAATGAGTGAATGAGATGATTCCTAAGGTCTTTTCTAACTCTAAATCTATGATTCTATGATTTGTTCTCCCCACCTCCCAAGAAAAAGCCCCCAAAAGAATTTCTCCCTCAGCTATCCCCAGATATATTCCCCATTTCCTTTTTGGAAGGTTCCTCCATAGGTCTCCAAGATTATGTCATCCCCATCTTGTATAATTTATGTGCTGGGATGGTCTGGGTAACAATAATGACAATATTAGCCCACATGTCTATGGTATGTAAGACATGTATTGTGGGGCTATCTAAATATATTTACATGTGTGTATATATATACATGTGTATATGTATGTAGATTTCTATGCATATATATGTACACATACATATTTATATGTGTCTGTGTATGTAATATAGCTAGATATGATCCACCTCTCCAGAGAATAGGAGAAGGGCCATGCTGGTAATACCAGCAGCCTAGCTAGGGGTTGGAGGGAGGGGAAAAGAGGATCTAGGATCCAGCCAAGACTGTGCTATCTCTCCTCTAGTTTCCAAGAATGGTATTAGGCTAGAATTATGTCTATCAACTACCCCTTGAACATCTCTAGTGTAGGAATATGAGTCTGAGTTCAGAAGGAAAGTTCTCCCTGATGACTCTCAAGGGGATGGGTAGCCCTTTCTTGGCTTATATTCCCAGCTTAGCTCCTTCCTACCAAATGCTGGTCACACAGAAGACCATCATGATTACCAAATAATGAGTAAACCCACTTATTCAAACAAAACAGCAAATTGAAATTAAAGATGTTCTAAAGACTAGACTATACCGAAGGACACACAAGAGTAAATGAGCTCTTCAACTGGAAGCCAGATAAAATCTTAGCTCAAACCAGGAGAAAAAGAATGATCTCACCCAAGGGAGTTCCATTTTCAGCAATCTTAGAGTTGTAAACCTTCAGATAGTCAAGGATCATAATTCAAAAGTTCACGTCTCTTCCCTCTCTCTTGACCACCTCCCTAGACGTCCTCTCTCAAAGCCTGTGCAGCATCTACCCCTTCAGCAGGCAGGTAAGCAGCATTGTGCTCCAAATTCTCTTAGCCAACCAGCAGTCACATCTTCCTCTGCTTACATGAAGCACAGCCCTGGGCTGCTCCTCCACCTACCTTACCTGGATGGGAATAAATGTTTCCCTCACAATAGCTCTATGTGGTAGATAGGATATTATTCCTATTTTACAGATGAAGAAAATGAGGTTCACAGACATAAAAATGACTTTCCCAAAGCCATACGGCTAATGTTGACAATAATTTATAATACTGATAATAATAATACATTTCTGGGGCAGCTAGGTGGTGCAATGGTAGAGCTCTGACCTTGGAGTTAGGAGGACCTGAGTTCAAATCCGGCCTCAGGCACTTGACATTTACTAGCTGTGTGACCCTGGGTAAGTCACTTAACTCCGATTGCCTCACCAAAAAATCAATAATAATAATAATACATTTCTACAGTGCTTGAAGTTTCTCACGACAGTCCCCGAGGAGGTAATATGTGTGGTCATTTTTTTCTTTGCCTGACTTGTGACTTCACTGGTATAGAGAACTGCTCCCAGTGAGGAAGTTTTTTTTACTGTTCTGAAATTTATAGCCTGAGAAAATTGCCTAGGGCACCAAGAGGTTAAGTAACTAGCCTAGCAACAAAATCATTTTTTTCTTCTGTCAGAAATGAGTTGAGGTCAGGTCTTCCTGACCCCAAGACAGACAGGAGAGTAGCTTTCTATCCCTAGCTTCGTGCTGCTACTTTTCTCATTTCGACAGACTAGAAAACAAGAGACTTAGGGAGAAGTCTTTGCTTCCCCATGGAACAAAGCTTTGTCTTTTTCAAAATACTTTCCTGTGCCCCGGCTCTTTTGTTTCCCCACCCCCATCCCTGCTGTGGGGGAGGCAGGGCAAGCATTTTTCCCATTTTACAGATGGGGTAAATGAGGTCCAGAGGAAGGAAGTAATTTGCTCCAGGAAACTTGGGGTAGAGTCTGTACTAGAGCTAAAGCATTTGTCGGTAGTGGGGATGATGATGGTGGTGGGGGGACTGAGGTGACTAGAGTTGTGTGGCTCCCTCAATCCAGAGCTGAGAGGGCATGGAGTTTGGGTGGTGGGGTGGGGAGCAGGGGAACTAGGGCCTCTGTGACTCGTCTCCTCTGTGTCCCTTCCCCTCCCTAGGCCTAAGCTGAGGTTTTCTGGGGGACCCATTCCCACCCCCATCCCTCACTGGCGTCAGCAGCCAGCAACCCAGCCCTGGCATGGGCCCCAGACATGTCACTCTCACCAGATCTCCCAGCCTGCTTACAGTCGCCAGGAGGTGGGGCCTGGGGGAAGTGGGGTGGTGGCGGTAAAGGAGGCTCTTTCCCACCATCTGATTAAGGCTGGTGAGTCAGCGTGGCCCCAGCCCTGGGCAGTCTCCCCAAGCAGCCCAGCCGGCCAGGAGGAGGGAGGAGAGGAGGAGGCAGATTCCAAACGGTTGGCTTCCTGCCACCTCTCACTGAGGGACTGGAGGAAGGTCTGAGGGGTACAGGCCAGTCTGCCCCAGCTGTTAGCTCCCCTCTGCACAGTGTCCTCCCCAGGATGCCCTCAGGTTGTAGGGGTGGAAGGATCACCTAGCTAGCCCCACCTTTCCATTTCATAGTTGGGCAACCAGGAGATCAGAGTGATCTAAGGACTTGTCCAGGATCATCCATCTAGTGTGTGGCAGAGCTGGGACTAGTCATAGAACGTTAGAAATGAAAGGGATCTTAGACATCCAATTCAATCTTCATTTTACAGCTGAGGAAACTGAGTCCCTAAGAGGTTTATCGATTTGCTTGCCTTAGATCATTTAAATGCTTATTCTTCTTCCTCTCCCAAATCACATAGATGGTAAGTAGGCAGAGAGGAAGAAAATAACCATTTACTAAGAGCCTACTATGTGCCAGGTACTGGGTTAAGTGCTTTTACAAATATTGACTAATTTGATCCTTAAAATAACCCTCAAAGATAGAAGCTATTATTAGCCCCATTTAGAGTTGAGGACACTGAGACAGTCAGAAGTTAAGTGTCTTACTCAGGGTCATACAGCTAGTAAGTGTCAGGCTGAATTTGAACTCAGTTCTTCTTAACCCCTGGCCCAGTGTTCTATTCCAATGCACCATGGAGCAGCCAGCAATCTTAAGATTAAAATCTGGTTCAAGTCCCAGTGCCTCTTTCTACCTTTTTGACTCCAAGAATAGTGAACAAGGTTGGGAACTCTTTCCTTGCTCTGGTGCCCTGCCCCACAAGTAGGTACTACTACCTAACAGCTGCCTTCCTCTGCCTCCCTCCAATCTCTCTTCTGTTCAGGGAGGTTCCCTCCAAGATGATTTCCTGTCACCAGGCATTGGCTCAGCTCCCTCCAGTGACCACCCCTGTGAGTCTGGAAGCCACAGAGGCCCCATCTGGTCTGGATTAGGCCTGGGTCAGTGACGTTGTCTTTCCTGTCTGGGCCCAGCAGTCTCTGATTCCAGCTGCCACCTTTGGCCCTGGGGGAAGGGAGAGGTATGTCCCTAAAGTCCAACAGAGAGTGATCCAGAGGCAGAGTCATCTCTGGAGTCTGTGAGGATCAGAGATGTCCTTAGGGGT